CTTTTCTTCATAAGGTTCAACAAACCAGGCGGAAGGGCTGCGTCCGTATAAAACAAAACAAAACGCTGTGTATCGAGGAAGGTCAGAACACGACGTGCAACATATGATCTTGCATTATCTTCTTGGAACATGGCGTTTCGGGCCCTCGAAGATAGGGCACAACCATTTGACGTAAGATGTGGGAACTGTACCCTTCGGCGTTCAAATTACCGTCAATCCGAACTTGGGGTGTGCGTGTCTTTCCTATGAGCCTGTATTTTACCTATTATTTTGTAACTGTATTTTTGTATCTGTATAATTAATTTGTATTTTTATTTGAATTTTACTGTGAATGTGCAAAATTACCATAGCAAATTGCAACAACAAATGTCAAAACGGTAAAACGAATGCAATCTGCCCTTGTATGGCCATGTAAATGCTCTTGTTAACATCCTAAAAAGCGTATCATTAAAACATCAAGGTAAACTTACAACACTAAATCACATTAAGTATTAAAAATCCGACTCTTTCATCAAATGAAAAAAACTAGTGTCCAAGTATGACTCGATTACATGGTCAATAGGCAAGGGTGTCCAAGCGTGTCTCGATTATTTGGTCAGTAGGCAAAACAGCTAAAATACTAAAATACTTCATTCGTCGTCTGTTAAGATAAGGACAATTAAAAACATATAATATTGGCACGACATGACTTCCTTTTACGGTTTATTAAATTATACAGATTTTTTGCTGCACTTCACTTAAAGATACTCCTCGATTTATTCTCACTTAATTAACCGATACGTCAACGCAAGTTCAAAATGATATCAAAAACTGGGAATTTTTAAATTAAATATCACCAAAACATGAACAATATTTCAGTTTTAAAACACATCTTCAGTTGGAAGTGTTGCGACAACTAACGATTGCGAAAATAAAGGCTGGATAAGGGTGTAGGTGGGAGTATATATATATATATATATATAGATATATACATCCAGAGTATAAGATATAACAAAATACGATAGCTGCTTTAAATATAATTGGCGACCTCAAAATTAACGTTATGGATTTGGTGATCTCCCCCTAAATTCATCTGATCTTTCAAATTCGAGAATCTTCTATATTATGTAACAACGTCAAATTAACCAATCGCAGACTAGCTCTACTTATATTCAGATTTAGTATAAATACCCTAACGAGTTAATTGCGTCGTGCTTCCCTTCCCAAACTGAAATCCAAGTCGTTAACTTTATCTGCATGGCCGTTCTTCATCTTAACAACTAGCCATGACTGTTAAGAGGTCCAAGCTTCGACTGCGCATCAAAAATCTTTACACACACACACACCATTATATATATATATATATATATATACACTTCTGGTACTGACGATTAATGATCACTGCAATGACTTTCGCAATGATATGGTACTAACGTTTGCAATATATTATCCAACATGTTTTAGTTCAGGTGCCATTTTTAGAGACATTAAGGTTTTTTTAATATAGGAAATGTGAAAAATCTGCAATACCCTCGCCGGGACTCGAACCTGGACCCCTCGAACACGCGCCGAGTGTAATACAGCTACACCACGAAGGCGTCCTGAAAGTGGGCGAGAAAATATCTTAATAAGTTTTACATATGCTCTTACTTAAACTTTTTGTATATTGACATACATGTTTTAATAACGAAGTATGATTTAAAAACCTAAGAAGAATATTTTTATTCAACATTTACCATTAGTACATGGGGAATGTCGATATTTGCCGGAGTGAGCGAGAAATAAACGCATTTAGCAAATAATCGGACTAAGCAATTATGTGACTGCTGATATTTACTGGAGAATGTCGGCTTTCTCCAGATTTTGGTATTTCACGGTAACATATATACATATCTACTTGAAATGTATTTCACCTGAAGTTTTTTTTTTATTTTTTTTTATTTATTATAATGCGCGTGTACTTAGAGGTTAAGAAACTCATTAGCAGAAAAGGGGTCCAGGTATAAAATATCTGGAGGATTTTTAAATCATAATTAATAAAATAATTCTTTCTTCTGCAGTTTTTGGAACTTTTGAGATTTCAGAATCACATCCTAGGACAGTTGGAGGGTTTGTTGTTTTTTTACGATCAAAGTGCTCTTTTCCGCTAAAGCAATTTCTTTTCGCTCAAGAAGGGAATTAGGAATAAACACTTAAAAAGTTCTTAAGCCATGAACGACTTATTTTTAATTTTTATTTTCGCTCCTATGTGAAAATTTCGCATTCAGCTGCATTAGAAACCAGACGGTTAAAAAACATGCACCAAGAATAAAGCTTTCTCATTACGGGGATTAAGTGAAAACTTGTTTAGTAGTTCGGAGAAATTTTATTCCGCAGGGTTTCCTGTAAACAAGACTTTTTTGTTGCTCATCTGAAGAACAAAATTAACCAAATTTCAAGTCATATCTTTATGCTCAAAAAGGAAGTACGGAAAAAGAAAACATGATTTTGGTAATTTAAAAGTGAGGATTTAATCCTCTCAGATATATGTATTTTGGAAATGTTAGTAAGGTTGAAAAAGTAATTCTAAATAAAGATTCTTGGAAAAGAATGCATAATTTCCAATTTTACATAATTATGTTAAAGCTTACATGTACTATTAGATAGGATTATAATTAGGCATGTAAATACCTTATTAAAGACATTTCTATTTCATATATTCCCCAATAACGATAAAAATATTTTAATGATCTGTTTTTATATGATTAATCAGTTCGACTGTGAAAATAAATTTTGGAAGTAAGGAATGAATAGAAAAAAAAAAGAAACACCGCTATCCAAAGTTGAAGAAAGGGATTTATTTTTGTACTGCATGTTGCTGCTATTTGTCAATATAAATAAGCTGTTTTTTTTAAAGGCACCGTCTTGTTTTTGTCTGAAACATCATCTAGATACTGAACATATGTTTCATTCATAGATGTTTTCAGGTACATGATTTGTACAGAAATGTATAGCTGATGGCGTGATAGCGAGTGTTGCCAAATTATGTATGCTACATTAGTAATTGATTTTAGAAATGAAATGACATTTTATTGCGTTAATACATGCAAATTAAGTGTAACTGAAACTGATATTTTTGGTTGTTCTCGAAATATATATTGAAAATAAAAAAGTTGAACATGTACACATTTAAAATATTTCCCCCAGACTTGATACATAATTACCGAGATTCTGGAAGCATTGTCATCCTCTTTACATAGAAGACTTTAAGTTGGCTGTGAATCCACTACTGAATATTAATGATGACGTTACCAAGGTTAATAATGGTTCGGGTGGTGGATTTAATTCATTATACTAGTCAAATACTAGGATCAAATACTAGTCAACCCCTTCATGATTTTACTTCATTTAAAATTTCATGGAACACTATGGGGTCAATGCTGACTCCGTTCGGAAACCCTGTTTTAAATTATTAAATTAGCTTTAAAATTTGTAACTTGTCTCTGTAAGTAAATGTAGACCTATACATATTCAAATAAATAATATACATCTACACATAGGGATATATAAAATGTTGTATGACCTTAAATTCATTTAGTGCGAAAACAAGTTATTCTACTACATTCGCAATTGCTGCAAAGTAAGTTAATAATAATTTATTTACTAAATAATATTGATTAAATTATTTTCTAAGTTTAATTATAGTAGAATTATCTTACAAGAGTGAATCCATACTTAGTAAGTTCTATTTTGAAAGATGTTTTGAAGTAACTTGAATGTAAATTGTTAAAATGTTTTAACGGGGAGGGGAATTAAATCATGAATAACAAAATTTCAGTTGTAAAAGGAATAAATTAAAGGCAAGAATTAAATTAAATGCATGTAATCATTGTCATTGACCTTGTCATTGAAATTAGTTGACCTTTCAAGGGGAACAAACCAACCCCCGTTCAATGAACAATAATTAAGAAATAAATACGAAGTTAAATACGAACAATAATTAAGAAATAAATACGAATTCGAAATACGAAGTGTTTCGTCCTTTACTCGAGCAATAAGGCGAAGCCAAACCGGCAATTCAAGTCAGGCCAAATATTTCCGTGAATAGAAGGGATTATGAACCAAAGCTGATATCCAAAGAATTCCTTCCTATTAAGCATTTTCATGTATGTAGTCAAACAGAAAGAAATCTCACACAAGCAATCACTCTTCTCGAACCCCTTCTGACAAATTTCTTAAATTGTAAATAAAGATCCAAGCGACTACCTACGCTGATGATAAAAACAATCTGGAATTACTAATGTTCTTTCTAGACATCTTTCCCTATCGGAATTTCTGACGATTTCGGTTTTATTAATTATTTTTCCTGCAAGAGAAAGTTCAGTAATTACAAATTAACATTAAGATAATGAACGTCACATTCGTACGGCTGTACGATTACCGTACTGTCGTTTTATTTCTTCATATACCAGAATGTATGTTTGTAATCAATCCCTCCCTTTGTTACTGCCTTGATAAACTACTTTAGAACAATTTTTCATTACGTATTTCTATGATGTTTAATGACTGTTTACAATTTCTCTAGCAGTTTTTATAATTAATGGATTGTAATTTATCTAAGGAATAAAGAAGATTAATTGACGTTTTGCATCCACAAATTAAAAAGACGTTTAGTCTTGTTGATATACGAATTAGAATAATTTGTTCACATTATATTACAATTTGTTGCGCTAAAAGTTAAATTAGACAGTACTTACTATTCACTCCAGAAGAACATTAAATTTTAGGAAACCGCGGATATCCAAAGAATAAATATATCTTATTCATCATTATCATCCAAAGAATAAATACCAAGAAGAAAAATCTTCGATAAATGGTAAGATAAATATAATTTTCACTGGCTTGCAGCTAAATAAGCATATAGAAATTATTTCCGTTTAGGTAAAATAAGATGTAAATTTAGTCAAATATTATAAAGGCACTGCAACTGATATTTTATTAATGCCATTAAGTTAAGTGTAATATTTTTTTTCTCCTTTCAGGAAGAAAAAAGCCAAATAATTACAACAAACGTTTGGCTAAATCTGGTAAGTTTTTCCTTTCAAATTTTGTTAAACATTGCCTCAGCTAGTCTAAACCATATTTATTTAAGAAACTTATCATTATGAAAAGGATGAAAAATTTAACTAACATGCTGAGAACCCAAAATTTTAAAAGTAATTATATAATGTTTCTCTCAAATCCTTGTAAATGCTTTTATACGTTAAATAATATTCTGATGGTTTCGTCTAACTGCAGAACAGCGAAGCTCTAGTACGAATTTATTCGAAATAAGTATATTTTTTTCATACTTCTTTTACATTCACTACTACCTAGAAAAAACCATAAGAATGCTTGGTCACTACCTAGAAAAGTAAACAAGAAAATGAAAAAAAAATATAAAATGATTTTAATGACCCCAACTTGCATAATTTTACAAAAGCATTTACTGTGTCTAATAAAACATGTCATGATTCAACTGTGTTTTTTTAAATTAGTGAGATTAAAGAGTAGAAAAAAATATGTTTAATATCTATGTTTATTGCTTTTAAATCGCTCAGTTTGTTGGTCACTAATATGTAGATTATATTTAAATATCAAATATCTTATGCCTTACGGATTGGCAACACCATGTCGCTTTTCAGTCGCAAATCCTTCTAAGTTCAGTGCAAAGTAAATCAGAGACTATTTATTATACGCCAGATATAATAACCCAAATTAATTATGCAAACAGAAATAAAAAACGTTTGTCAAAATTATCTTTAATTTCTTACTTTTTATTTTTAACGTATGCTTATCATTTAAAGCTTCAAATGTGACATTGTTACTGTAATATTCTTAAAGCTGATGGTAAGAAAAATAACATTCATTTACCTAGGTTTTATTTTAGAAGACTAAATGTAACTATTTCTAGTAAAATAAAATGTACACTACGGAAAAAAATGGGACATTTCTTTGACAAAATTCAAATTGCATTTTTCATGTTTCGAAATCGCGAATTAGGATTTATATTAGATCTATATATAGAATTGTTTTAACATAGGTATTTTGACACAAAATCAGACTTTTTCTGAAATAACATAGATAATTTTCCAAAATTCGATTATACGACTCACATTATGCCTAGATATTAAATTTTGTAAAATTTGCTGCGAAATTTACAGACAAATTCAAAAACTTATCTTGGCCCAATTTTGTTTCAGTTTGCGCCAAGAATAATTCCCCTCCATTATGCCGGATCGGAAAAAAAGGTACCTTTTTCCTATCTTTGTAAATTGTGCATGAGCAGAAAAAAGTCACATCGTTCTTACTTTCAAATAACTTTAGCAAAGTGTCTAAACCACATTTGATGTTTTATCCTTTTCAACAAGTATACCAAATTTCCAAACGCGCCACTATATGAATTCACTTACATCCTCGGAAGTTTTGAATAAAAAAGCAAGTATTAAAAGTAAAGTAAGTATTAAAAAAGTATTTTGCAGGTGTGCTTAGGATTACATCTACTTTAAAATAATGGTAAAATTTTGTAAATTTTAATTAATTTTTTTAATTTATAAAAATTATTTAAAAATACAAATTTTAAAAATGAATCATAAAAAAATGTCTGACTTTTATTTAGACTGAACCTGAATTTCGGAATGTTAAAGGAACAATCAAATGCGTTTAATAAAAAAGAGAGATTAATAAATATATATCAAACTCAATCAGCATTGAGCAGCTAAAATTTTGAGAGCTAATTTTTTAAAAACTACTCTTGCAATTTTTACAAAACTGGTAATTTGGCGTAATTTGAGTCGTAGAATTGAAATATGGAACAACAATTGGTATGTTATTTCAGAAAAAGTCCGATTTTGTGTCTAAATACCTATATTAGAGAAATGCTATATATAAATCTAATACATATCCCAAGTCGCGCTTTCGAGACATGAAAAACGCAAGTTGAATTTCGTCAATCGGCCCATTAGAACAAGAGATATAGAACTGTGTAAGGTTTATCTTAATTTCTCTAACAGTTAATTTTTAGTTAAATGCTATTTTCCTGTCCTCTCTGAATTTCAGCTGACAACTTCTGGCCAGAAAGTATTTTCAGAATCGCGGCCAAATGCAAATGAGGAGAAGAAGTATTTAACTGTGAAGTTCTACTGACTTCGTTAGAGAGCCAGATATTCAGAGCAGCGCGCGTTCTTCTTTTAAGCTACTCTCTCTTAAGCTATTACTACGCTCGGCCATACTTTATGGCCTTGATAGCTTCGCCGTTAGTTAGCGTTAAAGGGCCAACTCTGTTAAAATATTGCTAGCTTAGGCTGTATCCTTTCAGTTAAGTTTTATTTCTTAGCATTCCTGAGTTCAAGCCCAAGTGGAGGCTTTGTTGTAAACTCCAAGAAAGGAGTCGTCTGTTAAATTTATTTTGAACAATAAAGGATATTCAACCTTCGCAAGTTCACACTTCTATCATTTTGAACTAAGCGATTATTCGCTTACTAGTTCTTTCTTAACATTCCAGACACATTGCAGTAACTTCTAGGTTTGGAATCTTACAATTGTACCCTTTTTTTCACATTGAACAATAAATGATGTTATTTTTCTTGCTTTCAGTATTACTTGGCTTATCATATTTTCCCATACTGTAGCCTATGTTTGTGCGGCATGACAGACGCACCAAACGAAGGAGGTCCTCATTATACGGGACCCATTCAGAGTTTGGATACCCAACGTCCGTGGGACTTCGTTCTCGCGGACGCAACCCCCACCCCGCTTTTACGAAGCATTGGCCAGAAAAAAAAAAAAGTTGCTATTAAAAAAAACTCTGGCAGCTTGCCTCCGGGCACCAATCTAACGGCATAACCACATTGTAGATAGGTGCTCTGAAAACTTCTGTCGAACGGCTTCGTGAGAAGTGAGGAGGAGTGGGAGCCAATCGGATCCGCCACCGGGTGCTTGCCATCAAAACTGAAACGGAACATGCCCCTGCTTGCGAATGTAAAATTGGAAGGCTAAATGAACGATAGGTATTGGCCATTGCCGATGAAGTTGTTAGTTAAGTTGTCAGTCTCCAATCATTTTAAACAACACTAACATCATTTTAAAATGTTCAATGTATGTAATGTTTTATTTCATGTACGTGTTTTTGAATTTATTTGAACAAAGAAATAGTGGTTACTTTTATCGACTTTTTAATGGTTTCTTGTCTTTTTTTAAAGAATCTCTTATTTTTGGGTAGCAAAAACTGCGATCTCTAAATGTCTGTATGTATCCTCACGTCTTAGTACAACAGTAAAGTGAAAAGAAGGGTGTAAAGAACACTCTATTCACTCACCAAAATTTTACAGATGACCCCACTTGAGCTTACACAAAGGCAACACGTCTGGCTTAGCGCGAAACAGGTAGCAATGAACTTAAAACATAGTAACGGCTTAGAGGATAATTTAACGCGCAGGAAGGCTCTCACTCTTACAAATCTGCGGAAACCTGCCCGATGGCTAAAAGCACTCAGCACCACAGCAATATAATCGCTAGTAATTCAAAACAGCAGCGTGGTCTTTCAGCATCCTTGCGTAGAGTAACAGTAGCACACACGGTGCGTATTCGAGAGGTCCAGGTTTGAGTCCGTACGAGGGGCTTCCTCGTTTTACATGCACCCTGCTTCAAAATAACCTAACGCCTCTATAAATTGAACAAAGAGATAGTGATTCTCTTTATCCTTTTTTTTTTCAACAGTTTCTTGATTTTATTTGAACAAGGAGTCTGATTCTTTTTATTCACTTTTTTCAATGGTTTATTGATTTTATTTGAACTATTACATAGTGTTCTTTTATCCCTGTTTTATAATTTTCTTTTATTTTTATATGAACAAAGATATATGCGTTTTTTTATCCATTTTTCCAATGATTTCTTGTTTTTATTTGAACAAAGAGGTAATGGCTCTTTTACTCACTTTTTTACAGTGGTTTCATGATTTTATGTGAACACGGAGCCAGTGATTCTTTTTATCCAATTTTTTACGATGGTTTCGTGATTTTATATGAAAAAAGATATAGTGGTTCATTTTATCCGTTTTTTCCAATAGTTTCTTGGTTTTATATGAATTAGGAGGTAGCGGTAATTTTTATTCGCATTGTTCTAATGGTATCTTGATTTTATTTGAACAAGTAGATGGTGATAGTGGTTTTTTTTTTTTTTTTTTTTTTTTTTTTTTATTTACTTTCATTCCAACGGTTTCTTGCTTTTATTTGTACAAGGAGACTTTGACCCTTTTTGCCCGCATTTGTAAAATGGTATCATGATATACGTATATGAAATGGATACAGAGGTTCATTTTATCCATTTTTATAATGGTTTTGTGGTTTTATTTGACAAAGATAGGGTTATTTTATGAATTTTGTGAGCGTATTACTTTAAACTAGCAATTTATGATGATTTAGATCTGTACTTTAAAATCTTCTTTCCTTATTCCTCACCAGAATAGGTGTTTACGTAATTAAGCTGAAGCTTTTGGATCCTCAGAGAGAATACCTAGCGAAGTGTGCTTAATTTCTGCCAGCTCTTAAGAGTTTTAATATATCTCGGCTTTTCATTCTCCCAACGCCGGTACTTTAAACTGACGTACCAGTAATTCCTTGAGCAAACTTACAAATTAGTATTTAATTGTGTAGTTTTAGCCTACTGTTCAACGTTTAGTTTGAATTGACTGCTCTTATTTAGATTGCATTAGCAAAAACTATCATTACATGCAGCCCAAAATCGTGTCCTTATTTTCAAATTTACATTTAAATAAAAAGGTTGTTTTAAAACCTTAGCAACACTTTGCCATTACATTTCAGACATAGCGACGACTCGATGTACATCTGTTAGGGTTATAGGACTAAAGTATCATTGCTAGACCGACGGTAATCTTATAACGTTTTTACAATCCTTTCTTAATTTTATTTGAATACGACGACAGTGGTTTCTTTTATTCCACTATTTTTAAGGATTTTAAATCTCACTAGATATTCTAATCAGTTATTTAATTGCATACTTTATCAGAACAGAGATAAAGCCATTATTT